GAATTAGCTACTCTAAGTACCTTTATTAAGATTAAACAAAATTGAAAATTAAAAAAAAAAATTATATATATATATAGGCCCATGAACCCTTCTTCTTTTGATAAGTTGTTCCTCGGGGACATGGTGTTGTGGTGGTAGTTTCGAGGGGGTCGACGGGGTCTAGGGTTCCAAGGAAGGGGTCTTCAACCAGGGTGAAGTGTTCTAGCTAGGGTTTCAAGGAGTGTCGACAAATGGTGTTGTAATTTTGGGCATGGGGTTTTTCGTCTTGGGTTTTAAGGAAGGGGTTTTAATGAAATGTATGGGGCATCCAGAGTATATTGATTAAGGGGACCACTAATCCGAGGATTTAATGTTGAGCATGAGACAAGACAGTGATCCTCTTCTCTTTCCATTTTCGCTCATTTTAACTTTGATTGTATTTTACTTCAAGTTTCATTGGTAATTAACAAAAAACAAACGTTTAGATGATAGAAGTGGCCACTACTTTCCACCAAGAAATACTGACTATAATTTCTAAAATGACAAGGGAAGAAGTGTAATTCTACTTTATTGCAAGGGTAGTTCTATAATTTACCTTCACTTAATAGAAATTTTTTTTTTGCTCACTTAATAGTTTTTTGTAACTAGAANGTGTAATTCTACTTTATTGCAAGGGTAGTTCTATAATTTACCTTCACTTAATAGAAAAATTTTTTTTGCTCACTTAATAGTTTTTTGTAACTAGAATATCCAATGCCAAAGTTGAGAATGTGTTTAAAGGGAGCAATGAAAAGCAAAAACCCTTTTCTAGTATGGATGTCTTTGTATCGATGTGTAACTTTCGAGGATAATATGGTAATTCAGTGCCACCAAGAATAAGATAATTAATCAAGGGAAGGAATCGTTTAATTATACCTCAAGGTCATGTTTTATTAATCAATTCTTATAATGTCGTGATTTTCAAAATTTTTGGCCCAAATATTGTGTTTGTCAACTTATTTGGTAATCTATCATTGTTTGAATGAAAGCGTTGGTTCAAGTCATTCTTTAAAACCCTCTTTCATTTAAAAAATGATAGTTGAAAGTAAGTTAGAAATGATGATATTTGAAAAGATAAAAAATTTTGAAAGTTCATCAAAAAATTAGTTTCTGGAGAGAGAGAAAAAGAGGCATTATGTTGGTCATTTTGTACAACTTTTCATGAAAACAAAAAAGGTGACTGCAAAAAATTCTAACATGTAAGATCTTCCAACAAAGCCAAAGGACAGAGAAGAGCTGGGAAGTTAACCTTTTTTGATCTTTATGTCAACTTTTGAGGACCAATTCAAAGTTTCATAGGATTGATCCAAATTTTTTGTGACCTCATTAATTAATAACTTTAACCCTATTGAATTGTATCCTCATTTTATTAAATTGTCACTTTTTTCGTAAAAAAATTATTTTTTAATACCATAAAATTTTCCCTAAGAATTATTTTTTATTTTTTTAATTTTTATTTTTTAAAAGAATTAGAATGGTACAACACGACTCTTACTGATCCAATTGATCGTGAGAGCTCAATTGAATGGTACTTGGATACTAATACCCTGTTACATTGAAAATGTCAATAACTTCAAATAATTTATCATCTTTGTCCTCATTCAAGTTCCACAACACAAATCCATTCAAAAGAAGACAAGTACATTATTGAGATTGTCGGTTGATTTTATATTGGTGTGGTGCCCTTGCTTTACTCCTTTCATTATTTTTGCTTATGGCCTTACATTTGAATGTGGACACAAAGCAACATATTCTTCACTAAACTGTAAACAATTTCCAAACCCAATCATGAATCGTGGAGAGTGGTTCTTTTTTTCTTTTTTTAAATCCTGTNATATCCAATGCCAAAGTTGAGAATGTGTTTAAAGGGAGCAATGAAAAGCAAAAACCCTTTTCTAGTATGGATGTCTTTGTATCGATGTGTAACTTTCGAGGATAATATGGTAATTCAGTGCCACCAAGAATAAGATAATTAATCAAGGGAAGGAATCGTTTAATTATACCTCAAGGTCATGTTTTATTAATCAATTCTTATAATGTCGTGATTTTCAAAATTTTTGGCCCAAATATTGTGTTTGTCAACTTATTTGGTAATCTATCATTGTTTGAATGAAAGCGTTGGTTCAAGTCATTCTTTAAAACCCTCTTTCATTTAAAAAATGATAGTTGAAAGTAAGTTAGAAATGATGATATTTGAAAAGATAAAAAATTTTGAAAGTTCATCAAAAAATTAGTTTCTGGAGAGAGAGAAAAAGAGGCATTATGTTGGTCATTTTGTACAACTTTTCATGAAAACAAAAAAGGTGACTGCAAAAAATTCTAACATGTAAGATCTTCCAACAAAGCCAAAGGACAGAGAAGAGCTGGGAAGTTAACCTTTTTTGATCTTTATGTCAACTTTTGAGGACCAATTCAAAGTTTCATAGGATTGATCCAAATTTTTTGTGACCTCATTAATTAATAACTTTAACCTTATTGAATTGTATCCTCATTTTATTAAATTGTCACTTTTTTCGTAAAAAAAATTATTTTTTAATACCATAAAATTTTCCCTAAGAATTATTTTTTATTTTTTAAAAGAATTAGAATGGTACAACACGACTCTTACTGATCCAATTGATCGTGAGAGCTCAATTGAATGGTACTTGGATACTAATACCCTGTTACATTGAAAATGTCAATAACTTCAAATAATTTATCATCTTTGTCCTCATTCAAGTTCCACAACACAAATCCATTCAAAAGAAGACAAGTACATTATTGAGATTGTCGGTTGATTTTATATTGGTGTGGTGCCCTTGCTTTACTCCTTTCATTATTTTTGCTTATGGCCTTACATTTGAATGTGGACACAAAGCAAAATATTCTTCACTAAACTGTAAACAATTTCCAAACCCAATCATGAATCGTGGAGAGTGGTTCTTTTTTTCTTTTTTTAAATCCTGTTTGATTCTTTCTTAGAAGATGAATGATATGCGGAGTTGGTAGTGTTGAGAGCTTCTTCAAAACAAAAGGAAAAATACACCCCCCCCCCCCC